CACACACAACACACACAACTACACACAACTACACACAACTACTACACACACACACACACTACACACAACTACACAACTACACACAACTACACACAACTACACACAACTACACACAACTACACACAACTACACACACAACTACACACACACACACAACTACACACACACACAACTACACACACAACTACACACAACTACACACAACTACACACAACTACACACAACTACACACTACACACAACTACACACAACTACACACAACTACACACAACTACACAACTACACACAACTACACACAACTACACACAACTACACACACAACTACACAACTACACACAACTACACACACAACTACACACAACTACACACAACTACACACAACTACACACAACACACACACACACACAACTACACACAACTACACACACAACTACACAACTACACACAACTACACACAACTACAACACACAACTACACACAACTACACACAACTACACACAACTACACACACAACTACTACACACAACTACACACAACTACACACACAACTACACACAACTACACACAACTACACACACAACTACACACAACTACACACACACACACAACTACACACACAACTACACACAACTACACACACAACTACACACAACTACACACAACTACACACAACTACACACAACTACACACAACTACACACAACTACACACAACTACACACACAACACACACAACTACACACAACTACACACAACTACACACAACTACACACAACTACACACAACTACACACACAACTACACACACAACACACAACTACACACAACTACACACAACTACACACAACACACACAACTACACAACTACACACAACTACACACAACTACACACAACTACACACACAACTACACACACAACTACACACACACAACTACACACACACAACTACACACACAACTACACACAACTACACACAACTACACACAACTACACACAACTACACACACACAACTACACACAACTACACACACAACTACACAACACACACAACTACACACAACTACACACACACACAACTACAACACACAACTACACACACACACACAACTACACACAACTACACACAACTACACACACAACTACACACAACTACACACAACACTACACACAACTACACACACAACACACACACACACAACACACACAACTACACACACAACTACACACACAACTACACACAACTACACACACAACTACACACACACTACACACAACACAACTACACACACACAACTACACAACTACACACACAACTACACACAACTACACACACAACTACACACACAACTACACACACAACTACACACAACTACACACACAACTACACACAACTACACACAACACACACAACTACACACAACTACACACACAACTACACACACAACTACACACAACTACACACAACTACACACAACTACACACAACTACACACAACTACACACAACTACACACAACTACACACACAACTACACACAACTACACACACAACTACACACAACACACAACACACACAACTACACACAACTACACACAACTACACACAACTACACACAACTACACACACAACTACACACACAACTACACACACACACAACTACACACAACTACACACAACTACACACACACAACTACACACAACTACACACACACAACTACACACAACTACACACACAACTACACACACACAACTACACAACACACACAACTACACACAACTACACACAACTACACACAACTACACACAACTACACACAACTACACACAACTACACACAACTACACACAACTACACACACAACACACACAACTACACACAACTACACACAACACACACAACTACACACAACTACACACAACTACACACAACTACACACACAACTACACACAACTACACACACACACAACTACAACACACAACTACACACAACTACACACACAACTACACACAACTACACACAACTACACACACAACTACACACAACACACACAACTACACACAACTACACACACACACACAACTACACACAACTACACACAACTACACACACAACTACACACAACTACACACAACTACACACAACTACACACAACTACACACAACTACACACAACTACACACAACTACACACAACTACACACAACTACACACAACTACACACAACTACACACAACTACACACAACTACTACACACAACTACACACAACTACACACAACTACACACACACAACTACAACACACAACTACACACAACTACACACAACTACACACACAACACACAACTACACACAACTACACACAACTACACACACAACTACACACACAACTACACACAACTACACACACACACACAACTACACACAACTACACACACACACACACAACTACACACAACACACACAACTACACAACTACACACAACTACACACAACTACACACAACTACACACACAACTACACACACAACTACACACACAACTACACACACAACTACACACAACTACACACACAACTACACACAACTACACACACACTACACACAACTACACACAACTACACACACAACACACACAACTACACACACAACTACACACAACTACACACAACTACACACACAACTACACACAACTACACACACAACTACACACACACACAACTACACACAACACACACAACTACACACAACTACACAACTACACACAACTACACACAACTACACACAACTACACACAACTACACACAACTACACTACACACAACTACACACACAACTACACACAACTACACACAACTACACACACACACAACTACACACAACTACACACACAACTACACACACAACACACACAAACTACACACACTACAACACACAACTACACAACTACACACAACTACACACACAACTACACACACAACTACACACACACACACACACACAACTACACACACAACTACACACAACACACACACAACTACACACACAACTACACACAACTACACACAACTACACACAACTACAACACACACAACTACACACAACTACACACACACAACACACACAACTACACACAACTACACACAACTACACACACAACTACACACACAACTACACACAACTACACACAACTACACACAACTACACACAACTACACACAACTACACACACAACTACACAACTACACACAACTACACACACAACTACACACAACTACACACAACTACACACACAACTACACACACAACTACACACAACTACACACAACTACACACACAACTACACACAAACTACACACACAACTACACACAACTACACACACAACACACACAACTACACACAACTACACACAACTACACACACAACTACACACAACTACACACACAACTACACACACAACTACACACAACTACACACACAACTACACACAACTACACACACACACACAACTACACACACAACTACACACAACTACACACACAACACAACACACAACTACACAACTACACACAACTACACACAACTACACACAACTACACACAACTACACACACAACTACACACACAACTACACACAACTATAATCAGAATGAGCAGAAGTGTGTTGGTTCATGAAACGATGTGTAACTACAACAAACAAACAAACAAACAACTGTCTCTTCTTCTGTTCCCGTCTCTCCACCGACTCTCTTCTTCTCTGTTCTTCTCTCTGTTCTTCTCTGTCTTCTCTGTCTTCTCTTCTCTGTTCTTCTCTCTGTTCTCTCTGTTCTTCTCTCTGTTCTTCTCTTTCTTCTCTGTTCTTCTCTGTTCTTCTCTGTTCTTCTCTGTTCTTCTCTCTGTTCTTCTCTGTTGTTCTCTCTGTTCTTCTCTCTGTTCTTCTCTGTTCTTCTCTCTGTTCTTCTCTGTTCTTCTCTGTTCTTCTCTCTGTTCTTCTCTGTTCTCTCTCTTCTTCTCTCTGTTCTTCTCTGTTCTTCTCTGTTTCTTCTCTCTGTCTCTGTTCTTCTCTGTTCTTCTCTGTCTTCTCTGTTCTTCTCTCTGTCTTCTCTCTGTTCTTCTCTTCTTCTCTGTTCTCTCTGTTCTTCTTCTGTTCTTCTCTCTGTTCTTCTCTCTGTTCTTCTCTCTGTTCTTCTCTGTTCTTCTCTGTTCTTCTCTCTGTTCTTCTCTCTGTTCTTCTCTGTTCTTCTCTGTTCTTCTCTCTGTTCTTCTCTCTGTTCTTCTCTGTTCTTCTCTCTGTTCTTCTCTCTGTTCTTCTCTGTTCTTCTCTGTTCTTCTCTGTTCTTCTCTCTGTTCTTCTCTGTTCTTTTCTCTGTTCTTCTCTCTGTTCTTCTCTGTCTTCTCTCTTTCCTCTCTGTTCTTCTCTGTCTCTTCTGTTCTTGTCTGTTCTTCTCTGTTCTTCTCTGTTCTTTCTCTCTGTTCTCTCTGTTCTTCTCTCTGTTCTTCTCTCTGTTCTTCTCTGTTCTCTCTCTCTTCTCTTCTCTGTCTTCTCTCTCTTTCTTCTTCTCTCTCTTTTCTTTCTCTCTGTCTCTTCTCTCTCTGTTCTTCTCTCTGTTCTTCTCTGTTCTCTCTGTTCTTCTCTGTTCTTTCTCTGTTCTTCTCTGTTCTTCTCTCTCTCTGTCTTCTCCTCTGTTCTCTCTGTTTCTTCTCTGTTCTTCTCTCTCTTCTTCTCTCTGTTCTTCTCTGTTCTTTCTCTGTTCTTCTCTCTCTGTTCTTCTCTGTTCTTCTCTGTCTTTCTCTCTTCTCTCTGTCTCTGTTCTTCTCTTTCTTCTCTCTGTTCTCTCTGTTCTTCTCTGTTCTTCTCTCTGTCTCTTCTCTGTCTCTGTTCTTCTCTGTTCTTCTCTCTGTCTCTCTCTCTCTTTCTCTTCTCTTCTCTCTGTTCTTCTCTGTTCTTCTCTGTTCTTCTCTCTGTTCTTCTCTGTTCTTCTCTCTGTTCTTCTTCTGTTCTTCTCTGTTCTTCTCTTTCAGGTTGGTGGTTCCAAATAAAGGATACTCGTCTTTAGACCAGAGTCCAGATGAGAAACCTCTGGTGGCTCTGGACACAGACAGGTGAGAACTCAGGTTCACTGAGGAACACTGAGGAACACTGAGGGAACACTGAGGAACACACAGAAGTGAAACACGAACAGGAACACTGAACACTGGAACACTGAAGAACACTGAGGGAACACTGAAGGAACACTGAGGGAACACTGAAGAACACTGAGGGAACACTGAACACTGAGGGACACTGAGGGAACACTGAAGGAACACTGAGGGAAGGGACACTGAGGAACACTGAGGGGAGGAACACTGAGGGACACTGAGGGAACACTGGGGAACACTGAGGGAACACTGAGGGAACACTGAGGAACACAGGGAACACTGAGGGAACACTGAGGGAACACTGAGGACACTGACTGAGGGAAACACTGAGGAACACTGAGGGAACACTGAGGAACACTGAGGAACACTGAGGGAACACTGGGGAACACTGAGGGAACACTGAGGGAACACTGAAGGGAACACTGAAGGGAACACTGAGGGAACACTGAAGGAACACTGAAGGAACACTGAAGAACACTGAGGGAAACACTGAGGGAACACTGAGGAACACTGAGGGAACACTGAGGAACACTGAGGGAACACTGGGAACACTGAGGAACACTGAGGAACACTGAAGGAACACTGAGGGAACACTGAGGGAACACTGAAGGAACACTGAGGGAACACTGAGGGAACACTGAGGAACACTGAGGAACACTGAGGAACACTGAGGGAACACTGGGAACACTGAGGAAAACACTGAGGGAACACTGAAGGAACACTGAGGGAACACTGAGGAACACTGAGGGAACACTGAAGGGAACACTGAGGAACACTGAGGAACACTGAGGGAACACTGAGGGAACTGAGGAACACTGAGGGAACACGGGAACACTGAGGAACACTGAGGGAACACTGAGGGAACACTGAAGGAACACTGAGGGAACACTGAAGGAACACTGAGGGAACACTGAAGGAACACTGAAGGAACACTGGGGAACACTGAAGGAACACTGAAGGAACACTGGGGAACACTGAAGGAACACTGGGAACACTGGGGAACACTGAGGGAACACTGAAGGAACACTGAAGGAACACTGGGGAACACTGAAGGAACACTGAGGGAACACTGAACACTGAGGAACACTGAAGGAACACTGAAGGAACACTGGGGAACACTGAAGGAACACTGAGGAACACTGAGGAACACTGAAGAACACTGGAACACTGAAGGAACACTGGGGAACACTGAGGAACATTGTTCTAATTAGCATTAGCGTTCTAATTGTCTGTGTTGTTCCAGTGACGACGACTTCGACGTGTCCAGATATTCTTCGTCCGGATACTCGTCGGCCGAGGTGAGATGTCTGAGGGAGCAGGTACACACAACTTTACTTTGGTTTAACTCACACAACCATCAGAACCATCAGAACCCAGAACCACAGAACCCACCACAGAACCATCACAGAACCACCATCAGAACCCACCACAGAACCATCAGAACCCACCACAGAACCCACCACAGAACCATCAGAACCCACCACAGAACCATCAGAACCATCAGAACCACAGAACCACCAGAACCATCAGAACCACCCACAGAACCCACCACAGAACCATCAGAACCCACCACAGAAACCCACCACAGAACCATCAGAACCCACCACAGAAACCCACCACAGAACCATCAGAACCCACCACAGAACCCACCACAGAACCATCAGAACCCACCACAGAACCATCAGAACCCACCACAGAACCATCCAGAACCCACCCACCACAGAACCATCAGACCCACCACACCATCAGAACCCACCACAGAACCATCAGAACCCACCACAGACCCATCAGAACCCACCACAGAACCATCAGAACCCACCACAGACCCATCAGAACCCACCACAGAACCATCAGAACCCACCACAGAACCATCAGAACCCACCACAGAACCATCAGAACCATCAGAACCCACCACAGAACCATCAGAACCCACCACAGAACCATCAGAACCCACCACAGAACCCACCAGAACCCACCACAGACCATCAGAACCCACCACAGACCATCAGAACCCACCACAGACCATCAGAACCACAGACCATCAGAACCCCCACAGACCCATCAGAACCCCCACAGAACCATCAGAACCCACCACAGAACCATCAGAACCCACCACAGACCCCAGAACCCACCACAGAACCATCAGAACCCACCACAGAACCATCAGAACAGAACCATCAGAACCATAAACTCTGTAGAACCCATTAGAACCTTTAGAACCAAACAAACTCAGACCCATGAAGCGGAGACAGAGCGAGAGTTTCACCGTCTCCTGTTCGTATAAACGTTCACGTCGAACGTTCCAGCTGCTGAAGTTCTAAACAGGAAGTTCTCGTGTTCCTCACAGCAGCAGGTCCAGAGTGAAGAGCCACGACACGTCTGGGATTATTGTTCCGTCTGCGATTCACGTTTACGTCACAAACCACGAAGACGTTTGGAAAGACGTGATGAAACTTCCTTTGGGTTCCGTTCACCGTCGTAAGTCTGGAAACACACGGGAAGTTTCAGCGCAGGTTTCCAGACGTGCTCCTCGAGTCTAAGTTCTTGTCTTTGTCAGTAGAAGTTCAGGCTCATGTGGAAGTTCGGGAGTGTCCAGGATTGGTGCAGGTGTTGGGTTTTAGGTTCAAACCGTCTCGATCTTCACTCGGTGGGTTTATCTCCGTCTTTGGACTTGTTTCTTCTGGAGTCACGCGGGTTCACAGATCAGACCTGGATCATCTTCACACATCTCCTCCTCCTCATCCTCATCATCATCAGCAGAACGTCTCTGATTTCATTTTTTTCCTTTTGGCCCTTTTTCCTGTCACATTTAAAGCTGCACTGTGTAACTTTTCTGTTTGAACGTCCGTCACCACCTTGTTTCTATGGAGACGTCGCTGCTCTGTCTGGAACGTTCCACCAAACCAGTCGCCACGTTTACACCAGAGATTTAATTCCAAATGAAAATAATTTAATTCTGAATCAAACTGAATTCGTTTTTAAATGAAAATGTTGATTGTGATTTAATTTTAACAGTGAAATGTTTGTTTTGTTCTGATTTTAAATGTGAGTGAATTTGTTTCCTGGATCCTGTTTGTGGTTTGTTCTTAATCTGTGTCGTTCGTTCAGTCGTTTTTCAATGTAAAACCAAAAATAAGAAAATGAAAAAACAACAGTTTTCTTTGTTATTTGTCTCCAAAACCAAAATGAAAAAAAAAAAACATAACGATTTGTTTTTTCAGTTTTTGATTTTGTGTTTAAATGAAAAATGGAAAAAACGTATAACGACGTGTCCGACGGGACTTCTGTGACCGTGATGCCGAACTGAACCAGGACTGATCCAGGTTCAGGACCAGACTGGGAGCAGACTGGGACCAGACTGGGAGCAGACTGGGACCAGACTGGGACCAGACTGGGACCAGACTGGGCTCCAAGCTTTGACTCTGAGCCTCCGCGGGTCCGAGCCTCGGCCTCGAGCTCCGGCTTTGCTGTGGGCTCTGAGCCTCTGGTCTGGTCCTGCTCTCCTCTTGGTCTCAGTCTCAGTCTGGTCCCAGTCTGGTCTGGGACTCAGTCCCCCTCTGGTCCCACAAATAATGAAGAAAAGTAGTTTTTTTGTTTTCTTATTTTTGGTTTTATATTGAGAAACGAAGGAATGAACGACACAGTTTGTTGTTGTTAAAATGCTGCTGGTGCTTCAGGCTCGTCGTGTCGTCCTTCTGGTCCTGGTCCAGGTCCAGGTCCAGTCCTAGTCCTGTCTCAGGACTTTGATCCACATCTCTTTGGATTTGTGAGCGGGAGCTGGTTCGATCCTGGTTCGATCCTGGTTTGGTCCTGGTTTAGTCCTGGTTTGGTCCCGGGAGCAGATAAAGTTTGTGTTTTCTTCACAAAGACGTAAATCCGTTGGTGTCTCTGTCCAATCAGGTCTGTTGTGGCTTTTTAATGTGTTGTGGCTTTTTAATGTGTTGTGGCTTTTTAATGTGTTGTGGCTTTTTAATGTGTTGTGGCTTTTGCGTTTGTGTTGTGTCGTTTGTATTTGTTGAGGCGTTTGTCCCGTGGTCATTTCCGTTGTGTTTTTTTTTGGTTTGTTGTGGCTTTTGCGTTTGTGTTGTGGCATTTGTATTTGTTGCGGCGTTTGCGTTTGTTGTGACCCTCTCGGCTTCCGTACTAATCTGATGGAAAGCGTCTCCAGAGTCTGAACGATCTGGTGCCTCCAGCTCCACCAGTTCATGTCGGTCCAGACGTGACGGGGACTGTGGGACTCCTGAAAACTCTGATCCTCTGCTGTAGGAGCTGGAGTCTGGTTCTTGTCGGACTCTGTGTCTCTGTGACTCGCTCCTTCTGATTCTCTGGGCTCGTGACAAACCAGAGACAAACAGGAATCAGTGGAGATAAAAATACTCACAACTTTCACGCTTTACATTTTCCTCAGCTCGAAATCAGCTGCTGCGACTTCAGACACGATGTTCCGCTTGTTTTTATCTCCCACATGACGACGTGACGCTGGTCTGGTCATGTGACGAGTGTTTCAGGAGGTTTTGTGTTACTGTTTTTTTTTTTTTTTTTTTTTTTAGTTAATCAATTCTAGTTTTATACACATACATCTATATACACACACATATATATATATATATATATATATATATATATATATATATATATATATATACACACACACACACACACACACACACATATAAAATAAAAAAAATGTAAGGATTATTTGTCTTTCGTTTATGGTCTTGAAAACTAATAATAATGTTAACGAAAACATAAAAGTTTATCGTTTATGATCGTGTGAAATAAACTAAAAAAATAAAATAAAATAAAATTGTCATTGTAAAGTAAGGACATTTTGTTTTCATTTCTAGTTGTACAAACTAATAACGTTTTTTTTTTTTGAATTATTATATATACAATATTATACACCACACACACATAAAACACATTCAGATTCAATGAAACCAGAACAAAAAAACAACAAAAAACCCAAGAAAGAAGGTAAAGATCAGAGAAACTGAACTGAGATGAGTTGTTTCTCTGTAGATGTTGGTTCTTGACGTTTCCTTTTTGCAGGATAAATGTCGGATCGATTGAAAGTGATGATTTATTTCTATTAGTAGAAGAGGAAAATAAGTATGTGGTGTTTTCCAAGAAGAATAAATAGATTCATTAATTGTTCAGTTTTTGTACGTTGATGTGTTTTCTGGGTTATGATATTTTCTTCTTTTAAGGTTTTTGTTACGTGTAAATTCTGGGAGAGAAAATGTTCAGTTTGTTTCCAGTAGGTGGAGCTAACGGGACGTGAGGAAAATAAACAAGCAGAAGTTACAAACTGGGTCGATCTGGATAAAAAAAAGTGTTTTTGGAGTAAAATGTGTGTGAGATTTTAAAGTGGAGTTCTGGTGTTTTATTGGCGATTGACGGAACGGAAACAGAAACGACGGGTCTGGACTCAAATCGTTTTCAGTCTAAACGTGACCTTAATGTGTTTAGAATTTAGAATTATTATTTCCATAAGCTTTCCATCAAAAAAAAATCTAACTTAAAATTAAAATCCAAGGAGAATAAACTATTTGATTCAGAACAATTAATTTATAATTAAAAAACATCCTGTAAACGTGGCGAGTGTGACTTTAAACATCTCTACTTTACATTTTATTGAGGTTTAATGCCGCACTGTGAAACTTTCCAGACAAAGCAGCAACATCTCCGTGGAGAAAAGTGTTTTTGAGGGACTCTGCAGGTTCTTCTGGTTCTTCTGGTTTAAACTTCTCTGCTTCTTTCAGCAAATAAACCAGGACCTGAACATCCAGCTGCTGAAGGACGGATACCGACTGGACGAAATCCCCGACGACGAGGACCTGGACCTGATCCCGCCCAAGTCTGTCAACCCCACCTGTATGTGCTGCCAGTCCGCGCCGTCCACAGCCTGCCAGATACAGTGACCCCCGACCCCTGACCCCGCCCGTGTCGGCCAAACCCCCGACCGCCGCGAACGAACACGACGACCGAACCGCCCAGTCCCCGCCCACCACAACCTGCCGAACCCAACCACAACCGAACTACCGCACGACCTTCCACCGTCCACGACCTGCGGGAGGCGCCCATCTCTGACCTCTGACCTCGCCCCCCACGTTCGCCAAACCCAACCACGACCGCCACGGCCGACGCCATCGACCTTCCACCGTCCACGATCTGCCAGATACACCGACCTCCGACCCCCGACCTCCGACCCAGCTCGCCAAGCGTCAACATAACCCAAAAACCACAAACGAGACCAGAACAGAGACGACGGCCGAGACCACGAACGAAACTACAGCCGAGACCACAACGAGACCACAAAACCGCAGCTGGAGAGTGTGGCCGAGACCACAAGATGAAACCACAAAATGAGACTAGAGCTAAGACTACAACGACTACAAGAAGACCACAACCTGGACGACTGTCGAAACCGCAACTGAGACCACGGCCGAGACCACAAACGAAACTGCAGCCGAGACTGTGGCCAAGACCACAAAACGAGACCACAAAGTGAAACCACAAAACGAAACTACAGCTAAGACCACAACGACCACAAGTACAAGGAGACCACAACTGACACTACAGCCAAAACTACAGCCGAGACCACGACTGAGACCACGACGAGACCCCAACCGACAAAGACGACAACCTAGACGACTGTCGAAACCACAACTGAGACCACCACCGCGACCACAAAACGAAACCACAAAACTAAACTACAGCTAAGACCACGGCTGAGGCCACAACTACAACGAGACCACAACCGAGACCACAACTGACACTACAGCCAAAACTACATCTGAGACCACGACGAGACCACGACGAGACCACGACTGAGGTACAACAAGACCCCAACCGACCAAGACCACAACCTGCATGACAGCCGAGACCACAACCAAAACTACAAGTGAGACCACAGCGAGACCACAAACAAAACTGCAGCCGAGACCACAGGAGACCACAACTGAGACCACAACTGAGACCACAACTGAGACCACAGGAGACCACAACTGAGACCACAACTGACACTACAGCAAAAAACTACAGCCGAGACCACAACTGAGACCACAACTGAGACCACAACTGAGACCACAAGACCACAACTGAGACCACAACGAGACCACGATTGAGGTACATCGAGACCACGACTACAGCTGAAACCACGACCGAAACCACAACAGTCCCTCCCGTCTGCACTGTCCACAGCCAGATTCAGTGACCTCAAACCTCTGACCCAGTTCACCAAAAACCACAATCGAAACCACAACCAAACCCCCACCGACCCGACCGCCCTCCTCGCCCAGACCCTCTGACCTCTGACCTGAAGATGCACGTTTACGATTGGGTTTGCATATCTTCGTCTCTGTTTTTTGAACTTTTCGTGGGCTGGTTAGCTCGTTTCTCCGCAGACCTGCTCCCAGACGCTCGGTCGAGTCTGAGCGGGACTCGCTTTGACAAACGCAGAACCGGAACCAGAACCAAGTCAGAGTCTCAAACACACGGACAGATTGACGATGAGACAAACTCGAACCAGGACAGAGACGCAAAAGATGATGAAACCCCCGCAGCAGAACCGGGACTCGCACGAGAACTGTTCCGGGTTCCAGCTGCGGAAAATCTCCTCCCTCGTGGATCAGTAAAGCTTGGATAAGTTTAAAGCTGCACTGTGGAACTTTTCGGTTGGGGGTCTGGAACTGCGTCCGGTTTGGTCTCCGTGGAGATAGAAAGGTTCAATGCCGCACTGTGGAACATTCCAGAGAAAAAAAAAAATCAATATCCTCTCGTCTTGACCGTCCCTCAGCGAGTCCGGGTTCAGGAGCAGCGGGACCTTCTCCGGGTCTCGGTCTGGTCTCGGTCGGGACCTGAGTTTCCGGGCGCGTTTGACCCGGTGTGCATGTTTCTGGGTCGCCGGGGGAGATGGACGAGGAGTTGGGAATCTCTCGGGACGAGTCGATGAACTTTCCCGTTTGTTTTTTTTTCTTCACGAGGAACTTTTGTGTGGACGGAACGAAAAGCGTGAAATGGAGTTGGTGTTTTGTTCGGATGCACGCTCCTCCTATGGCTGGACTTGTGCATTTGCCCCGTGACCCCTGACCCCCCCGTGACCCCGCCCCCTGCATGTCTTTATACTGAGCTCCGCCCACCGGGAATCGAACCGCAAACCTCCCGGTGTCGCCTCAGGAGGAGGACGGTGTGGGTTCTGTTCGTTGTGGAGGTTTCCTGGAGCTTTTTCCGCTGTGGATATTATTGGACTTGGGACACGTGGACAGGTGAACGGCAGGTGAACGGCAGGTGAACGGCAGGTGAACGGCAGGTGGACGGCAGGTGAACGGCAGGTGAACGGCAGGTGGACGGCAGGTGGACAGGGACATGTGGGTCCTGTCTGTATAAACTCACAGGTCCTGATGAACCGACGAGGACGAAGCGGCTGAAACACTCAGATCTGACGCCTGAACTGAGTCTGTCTGAGACTCGGTCCCAGTCCCAGTTTTGGTCCAGTTTAGTCCAGTTTTAGACTCGGTTTAGACCTGAATTAGACCAGTTCTAGACCCGTTTTAGACCTGGTTAAGTCCTGGTTTAAACCCGGATTAGTCCTGGTTTAGACCTGGTTTAATTTTGGTTTAGTCCTGGTTCAGACCTGTTTAGACCTTGTTTACACCGGTTTTAGTCCTAGTTTAGTCCTAGTTTAGACCTGGTTTAGTCCTAATTTAATCTTGGTTTAGACCCGGTTTAGACCTGGTTCAGACTTGGTTTAGTCCTGGTTTAGACCTGGTTCAGACTTGGTTTAGTCCTGGTTTAGACCTGGTTCAGACTTGGTTTAGTCCTGGTTTAGTTGGTTTAGTCCCTGGTTCAGACTTGGTTTAGTCCTGGTTTAGTCCTGGTTTAGGCCTGGTTTAGGCCTGGTTCAGACTTGGTTTAGTCCTGGTTTAGTCCTAATTTAATCTTGGTTTAGACCCGGTTTAGACCTGGTTCAGACTTGGTTTAGACCTGGTTCAGACTGGTTTTAGTCCTGGTTTAGTCCTGGTTCAGACTTGGTTTAGTCCTGGTTTAGACCTGGTTTCAGACTTGGTTTAGTCCTGGTTTAGACCTGGTTCAGACTTGGTTTAGTCCTGGTTTTAGAGTCAGACTTGGTTTACTGTTTAGACCTTTCAGACTGGTTTAGTCCTGGTTTAGTTTCAGACTGGTTTAGTCCTGTTTAGACCTGTTTACACGGTTTTAGTCTAGTTTAGTCCTAGTTTAGACCTGGTTTAGTCCTAATTTAATCTTGGTTTAGACCCGGTTTAGACCTGGTTCAGACTTGGTTTAGTCTGGTTTAGTCCTGGTTTAGTCCTAATTTAATCTGGTTTAGACCCGGTTTAGACCTGGTTCAGACTTGGTTTAGTCCTGGTTTAGTCCTGGTTTAGTCCTGGTTCAGACTTGGTTTAGTCCTGGTTTAGTCCTGGTTTAGTCCTGGTTTAGGCCTGGTTCAGACTTGGTTTAGTCCTGGTTTAGTCCTAATTTAATCTTGGTTTAGACCCGGTTTAGACCTGGTTCAGACTTGGTTTAGTCCTGGTTTAGACCTGGTTCAGACTTGGTTTAGTCCTGGTTTAGACCTGGTTCAGACTTGGTTTAGTCCTGGTTTAGACCTGGTTCAGACTTGGTTTAGTCCTGGTTTAGACCTGGTTCAGACTTGGTTTAGTCCTGGTTTAGGTTCAGACTTGGTTTAGTCCTGGTTTAGACCTGGTTCAGACTTGGTTTACCTGGTTTAGACCTGGTTCAGACTTGGTTTAGACCTGGTTCAGACTTGGTTTAGTCCTGGTTTAGACCTGGTTCAGACTTGGTTTAGTCCTGGTTTAGTCCTGGTTCAGACTTGGTTTAGTCCTGGTTTAGTCCTGGTTCAGATCTCGTCGTATGGGGGTTGATCTTTATTATAATCGTCGGACTCTTGGACCAATCAGAGTCGAGGGTGGAGCAGCCGTTTGTCCAATCAGAGACGTTTGAGATTTGTGACCCGCCCACCTCTCCACCTCGCCGCTCCGCAGACCTGATCCGTGACTCTTGGGCTTCATGAAACACGTCTGAGGACTGGAGGATTTTCTTTTCTGATGGACGTTGTTTCAGACGTTTCAGATGATTCCTGTTTTTGTTTTGTTTTGTTTTGTTTACATCAGCGACACAAAACCGGCTCCAGGAAACACTTTTGGTTTTGTGTTTTGACTTTAATAATAAAAAAAACACCTGGAGTCTGCAGCTTAGGGCCTTTGGTGGAACATGTTTAATCTAAGACTGAAATATTCCACATGAGAGTTTTACTCCAACAGAAACAGAAGGTGAATAAATATCGTGACAAACGCCGAGCTCAGAAAACGTCCCTTTGACCTTATTTGGCACTTCCTGTTCTGTCTTTGGATCTTGAGCCTAAAATAAGTTTTCGTGTAAAAGCAAAAGACAGAAACAGAAAAAAAACAACAACATCAAGTTAAATTAAAAACATCTGACTTTATTTCGATTCAACTTGACGAGTAAAATGAAAAAGTGCAGAAAGTTGTTGTTTTTCTTCTTTTAAAAGCGGCGAGTCGGGATGTAACGGTTTATCCAAATCTCTCGGTACGATATTTATTAAAGATATTTTACAGACGCTGATGTAATTGTAGATGAGACACTTTTCTGTTTTTAAAATTCTCTGACAAGATTTTGGTGTGAATTATTTCTGTCATAATCCCAAGAATTCAAATCAAAAACATGTTTCTTCATGTTTTCTGCGCTGAAATGAATCATGGGAAATGTAGTTCACTGTGTTTATAAACCTGCATTTCAACAAAGAGACTTGTGATTCGATATATCGTGACAGTCCACGATATTATAGTGAGACTTGACGATACGATGTCACCAGATTTACCTTTTTGTTGCGTCCCTAATAATAAGAAATGTTTTTATATTTTAAGCAGAAAAAGTCTTTTTCCTCTTGGCAGATTATTTTACTCAAGTGAAATTTACTCAAATCATGATCAAACTTTCTTAATACAAATCGTCTGAACTTGACCAAGTCCGAGCACAGGAAGTGACAAATAAGGTCAAAGGGACGTCGTCATAGCAACAAGAGCCCAAACTAATCCACCTTTATCTGCACGAAACAAACTGGAGTGATTTTACTGTTTCACTCTGGAGAGTTAAACTCTTTATGTAACCTCCACGTGTGTCAGGGGCCTCCACGTGTGTCAGGGGCCTCCACGTGTGTCAGGGGCCTCCACGTGTGTCAGGGGTCTCCACGTGTGTCAGGGGTCTCCACGTGTGTCAGGGGCCTCCACGTGTGTCAGGGGCCTCCACGTGTGTCAGGGGCCTCCACGTGTGTCAGGGGTCTCCACGTGTGTCAGGGGTCTCCACGTGTGTCAGGGCCTCCACGTGTGTGTCAGGGGCCTCCACGTGTGTCACGTGTGTCACGTGTGTCAGGTCACAGGTCCCTCCTCCTGTGTGTCAGGTCTCCTCCCGTGTGTGTCAGGTCCCTCCTCGCGTGTGTCAGGTCCCTCCTCGCGTGTGTCAGGTCGCGTGTGTCAGGTCCCTCCTCGCGTGTGTCAGGTCCTCCTCGCGTGTGTGTCACGTGTGTCACGTGTGTCAGGCCTCCCTCGCGTGTGTCAGGTCCCCTCCTCGCGTGTGTCACTGTGTGTCAGGTCCCTCCTCGCGTGTGTCAGGTCCCTCCTCGCGTGTGTCAGGTCCCTGTGTTCATGGGGTTTCTTTTTGTTTTTATCATTTGAACATTGAACAGAATCTTTATTGTGAATTTAACATTTATATTTTGTATTTATTTGTTTTAAAGTTATAATTTGACAGTGTTTAAATCTTCATGTTGTATTTTTAATATTTGTCAGAGTTTTCGTTTTATTTAAAGTGTTTTTGTGTCTGTTTCCGCCCAAGGCCCAAAGTCACACGACTAAAATCACAGCTTCAGTTTCACTGTTGGGATTTTCTCCTTCTGCCCAAATCCACCTGGACCAGAGTTAGTCCCGGTTTAGACCTGGTTTAGACCTGGTTTAGTCCCGGTTTAGTCCCGGTTTAGTCCCGGTTTAGACCTGGTTCAGACCTGGTTTAGACCTGGTTTAGTCCTGGTTTAGTTCTGGTTTAGTTCTGGTTCAGTCCTGGTTTAGTCCTGGTTTAGTTCTGGTTTAGTTCTGGTTTAGACCTGGTTTAGTCCTGGTTTAGTTCTGGTTTAGTTCTGGTTCGGTCCTGGTTTAGTCCTGGTTCAGACCTCGTTTAGACCTGGTTTAGTCCTGGTTTAGTCCTGGTTTAGACCTGGTTTAGACCTGGTTTAGACCTGGTTTAGACCTGGTTTAGACCTGGTTTAGACCTGGTTTAGTCCTGGTTTAGACCTGGTTTAGTTCTCAGTTCCTTTTCTCTTTAGTTGAGTCGAGATCCTCCAGGACTGAGATGTTCCAGGTGATTCTAGTGAAGCTGTGTGGAGTTTAAAAACACAGTGGAGCACTTCCTGTCTCACCACATGATGACATCACGAGGTGGAACAGAGTGTTTTCAGTGTGACAGAAGAACTCAGCCTAAACCTGCATTAGAACAGAACAGAGCAGAGGATTGTGGGAGATGTAGTCTCAGTATAAACCACATTAGGACGGAGCAGAGGATTGTGGGGGATGTAGTCTCAGTATAAACCACATTAGGACGGAGCAGAGGATTGTGGGGGATGTAGTCTCAGTATAAACCACATTAGGACGGAGCAGAGGATTGTGGGGGATGTAGTGAATCAGGTGCAGGACTCTGAAGCGACAGGAGCAGTTTCCCGTCGTTTGGGCGTCAGGTGTTTTCGTGTCGTCGTTTACATTTTTCATTTGGTTTAACGTTTTATTTTGTATTTTTGTGTTTTTATTTATTGTCTCGTTTAAAAAAAAAAAAAAAGGTTTAATTTACAGAAAATGTTTTTTTATTTGTCGTTTTGATTCTGACGTGAAACTGAGATTTAAAATGTTCCAGTGTGTAAAAGTGCAACTAATAAAACCTGGTTTACGACAGTCCTGGTTTAGTCCTGGAGTCCTGGTTCCAGTCCTGGTTTAGTGGTTAGTCCTGGTTTTAGTCCTGGTTTAGTCCCTGGTTCCTGGTTTAGTTTAGTCCTGGTTTAGTCCTAGTCCTGGTTTAGTCCTGGTTTAGTCCTGGTTTAGTCCTGGTTCTCTGGTTTAGTCCTGGTTTAGTCCTGGTTAGTCCTGGTCCTGGTTGAGTTCTGGTTTAGTCCTGGTTTAGTCCTGGTTTGTCCTGGTTTAGTCCTGGTTTCAGTCCTGGTTAGTCCTGGTTTAGAGTCCTGGTTCAGTCCTGGTTTAGTCCTGGTTGAGTTAGTCCTGGTTTAGTCCTGGTTGGTGGTTAGTCCTGGTTCTGGTTTAGTCCTGGTTTAGTCCTGGTTTAGTCCTGGTTCCAGTCCTGGTTTAGTCAGTCCTGGTTGTTTACCTGGTTCCTGGTTTAGTGGTTCAGTCCTGTCAGTTCCTGGTTTAGTCCTGGTCCTGGTTAGTCCTGAGTCCTGAGTTGGAGTCCTGGTTTAGTCCTGGTTTAGTCCTGGTTGAGTTCTGGGATAATCCGGGGTGTGATTAGTTCTGTTGATCCTCACAGCAGATGCTCCTGGAGCTTAAACGAACAAGACACAACTGAAGGTACGAATACTGCAAATACTACTACAAATACTACTACTACTACTACTACTACTACTACTACTACTACTACTACTACTACTACTACTACTACTACTACTACTACTTACTACTACTACTACTAACTACTACTACTACTATACTACTACTACTACTACTACTACTAATACTACTACTACTACTACTACTGCAACTACTACTACTACTACTACTACTACTACTACTACTACTACTACTACTACTACTACTACAAATACTACTACTACTACTACTGCAATACTACTACTACTACTACTACAAATACTATTCCTTCTCCCAAACTAGAATCCTCATTGAATCTCTAA